GTGACAAAACCCTGTGTGTGTGCATTCAGAGGCAGATTTGTGGCATGCCCAGGACAGGTTATCTAACCCTTCTTTCTTAATGGCTCTTTCATAAAGCCCCAAATTCTCATTTCTCATTATTTGCATTTATAATATGGGAGAAGGCCTTATAGAATTTGTAGCTCTGCACAATTTGACCACTCTGCGTGCCCAGTGCTGGTGCCTGAAAGGATGGAAAAGATGTCTCTTCTGCCACAGACAGAAGACAAAAAGATAAAAAACAATGTGGATTTCCTCATGCCCAAAACTTCCTAACAAAGCACTTACTTTCCCCTTTCAAAAACTAATTTCAGGGCTGTTTGCAGAATCCTACTGCTGCTCCACTTTTGGAACACTCATCTTTCTCAGTGTATCTAGTAGCCTGGAAACCTGACCTAATTAGTTAAAAAGGAGGAAAGACGAATTGTGGAATAGATGAACAGAATTTTTAAGTAACATACCCATAAAAATGGGTATCTTAATCTCTTTGTATGTGTGCATTATTTTTCAGCGTATGCCTGTAGTTTCTTGTTGTTTGCTCAGAATGTGAGCTCTTGCTTTTACAGGACTGTTTTATTTCTGGCACATTTGTATCTTGATTCCAAAACTCTACTTCAAAATATTACTGTAATTCAAATCACTTGATTACAACCTAGGTATTTCCAAAAGTGGCAGACAACACTCAGAGCCTTATTTTTTATGGATTTAAATTCTGTGGCTGAATTCTTTGATGTCTAAGTGTCAAGTCCGACAGAAGTTTTTTCTGCCCCCTGAGGAATTCATAATACTGCTCTCCTTGGAGGAATCTCTAATATCTAGTAAGGGTCAACTTCTCTAACTGCCAGTTTTCAAAAGATTTGTAGGAAATTAATTTACATTAAACTATTCAGTAGGTCCAAGATGAGAGAGAGGAGAATGCTCCCCTCCCAAGTAAAAGCCAACATATTCCTGTAGGAAAGTGAACTAGTAATCCCAGAGTTTGTTTATGTATTGCTGAACTCTGCTACCAGCAAAATGCTGGTAATAGGAAACATATTCCATAAGAGAGAGAATATTTAAACTAGGGCAAAATTGGAGGTTATTTGCTCTCTTCTAGTGATCTTACTCTGTCTTTATTGCCTCTTCATTGAGGGCAAGATTTTGTTCAATAAAATATAGAGTGGCAATGAGAAATGAGCCCTAGTTTGCATTTATCTAATGTGCTCTTACTAATGTCTTGAGCATTGGAAATGAGCATTTTGCAGCAATATTCTCAACTTTTGTTGATGGCTTTGTGAACATAAAATGTTCGGTTTCTTGTGCCATCAGTAATCAAGTGACGAGGGTATGTCCGACGCAGAGGATGTGAGATCTCCTGGTGAACATGCAAGTCTGAAAACTCCCACCTGATTTCCCTATAACGCAGTGATTTTGCTTCCCTCACTTCAAGCTCGGCAGTTGGAACCAGCAAAATGCAGTTCTGGTTGAAAATGCCTGTGTAGCAGGTGTGGTGTGGGTACAGCTGAGCTGGAATTGGGGCTGAAGGGGGTCGTTTGTCAGAGCTGTTCACCCCACACCGGGTTAAAGATCAGGGGAGCAGAAGTCTGCAGGAAAACTTGTCAGCATTTTGATAACTCAAAGCCCAGTCACTAGAAAAATCTTATATTTTAAAATACTAAGCTTCCCATTACGAAATCAATGAAAATTACTGTTTTAAACTAGTGAAAAGGTCTCCTGCTTTGGAGAGCTAAGATTCGCTTGGTATCCAGAAGGGCATGACATTTTTCCCGTGTTTGATTGTATTTGGTATATTAAATATGACCTCAGTGTTTAAGGTTAGTTGAGCTGTAATAGTTCAGAAAGATTTGGGGTGAGAATTTTTCAATTTGTTTTGTTAAGCCTCTGTAATAATTGTAAATAGTCATTCTTTCAAATAACAAATAGTAAGAGGTCAGATAATCCATATATATATATGACTCCATATTTCATTACCAACGAAAGTTCACGGCAGAAAAAATGTAGCTATGGTTAGGTGGATATTTCAGAGAAATCATTGGTGTATAAGTAAAAAAAGCTTTAATGGGAAGAAAAATGTATGGAATTATGAAACATGATTGATAATTCAGAAGACAACAAGGTATGAGCAGTTTTTAGCTGTAGATGTTCCCTGTTAGAAGACAGACTTGCTTAAATATCATGGAGGAAACAAGAGGGATGACCTTAGTCGTGTTTTTCTTGATGAGGGATGATTTTCTGGCAGTTTGTAGATTGGCAGACTTATTTTTAAGTTTAAAAATCACAGAAATGGGCTCAGTCATTGTTTACATTAATTCCTGATTATTCTGAGTACTAGAACTTGAATTCAGCAATGGAGCTTAAAAATTTCAGTCACCATTTTTAGCAGCACTATTTTTCCTCTGGGTCGTGAGACTTGATTGATGAGCTCCAAGTTAAACTGATAGTGCAGTTTTCTGGTGCCCTTAGGATGGGAGGGAAAAACTCTCTGTGTTCCCTACTGTTGTTAAAACACAGGTAATTTGTGGCAGTAGATTCCAGATGTTGCAGTTCCAGAAAGCACCTTTTTTTTTTTCTGGCATGCCTTATGCTTTTCAATTTACACAACATTAACTCATTTTTCATAAATGTCCTAGCTGGAAGTTTAAGATGGTTTTCTGTACCTAAGTGTTCTCATTTGTGCCATCAACTTTGTGACTGCCAAAATGAGCTAATAAAATTCAGCCTTTTCTGTTGTTTTATTTTGCAGAAAAATACTCAATTTGGTGAGTTGTGAAAATTAATCTACATGAAAAAAAATATTTAAACAGTCAGGTTTCTGTTTAATTAATTAAAAATCTGCAGCCCTGGGGCTGTGGGAACTGCCCAGCCCCTGCGGCCCAGGAGGGACCAGCCTGGGGAGCTGAACTGAGAAGAGGGGCACTGCAAGGCCTGTGTGACAAAAAAGTGTGAATGCTATTTGTCTTTTCATTTATCAAATTATTTTTAATAAGGAGTAGGACTAGTTAAATTTTTCCATGGAGAAATTTTTTTCTTTAAAATGCTGTGGTTTTGTTTGATATGCAGGAAACTGTTATTACTGCTTAAAAGGAAAACCATAGGTTTGGCATGTAAAATACTGAGACCTGTGCAATTTAAAAAGTAATTTTATTTCTGTAGTATCAAAATACAAATCAAAACAAAATTAGTGTTTTCATTTGGATGTTTTAACTTCTCAACAGAAATGATGACTTAAATATCTTTGAAACTTCTCTCAGGAAAAACAAAAAGCCTGGGAGTTCTTCATCACTTACGTGTATGAGAACCGCATTGCTTTTGCAAACCACTCTGGTGTTAGTTGGTTAAAACTGTCTTAAGTCCACCGTGACAAGGTTTGAGGTGTATGTAGTTTGAAGACATGAACTTTAGTGACATAATGTAATCTAAGATGTTTTTTGCAGAAACCTACAGTGGGAATTTGGGTCTGTGTTGCTGTAGGAGACCTGGGAAGCCTGAGGCATAGGGGAGAAAGCCTCCTGTGCAGGAATGTGGTCCAGCTGTGTTATACCCTCTGTCCAGCTCTAAAGGGTTCAAAAGGCTTTTTTGTTTAATATTTTCATTTGCATAGAGTGTGGTTTTTTTTCTTCTCAGAAGTTTAGAAGGGACTGAAGTAGACTATTTTATTTCACAGAGTTGTATTTTAAACCAGTGCTGTGCTAGTCCCTGGTGAGACCAGAACAATATACACAATGCGTGGTGTTGAGTGAGGCATCTGGCTGCTGGAGATATGTCAGGATTAATCCAGTATGTTCCCATTCAATTGCTACAGTTTTAGGTTCTTCTCAGCAAATTATACTGGACCAGGCTATAACTCATACAACATTGACTGTCATGCCCATACCGCTTCCAACTTTTCACATTCCATTGGCCTGTTTTTTTGGAGGAAGATGCCTTAGCTTTACATAGCAGTAGTTTTCCTGGAGGAAACTAGCTAAGGCAGAGAAAATTGTCCTGTACTTGTGCTGACATATGTATCATAGTGGTGCAAAGGGACTGAGAAAATGATTTGAAGTCGTCTGTGGTCTGAAATGTTCAGCAGATGGGCAGCTGTGACTTAGTAAGGGTTCTAGAGATGCAGGAAAGTGCACAGATCAGCAAGAATCCATTTTGCCCTGGTTATAATGGAAAACTGAAGAAGGGATACCAAATACAGGGTTATGTGGGATGATGGATTCTGTGTGATTCAGGTCTCTGGTAGTACCATGCCCACAGAAGGATTTCCATTGTTGTCTTTTCATGTTTGCTTGAGGATTTAAGTGTAGGTGAAAACATTACAGACCACTCATATGTGGCTTAGAAAGGGAAGACAGTCATCCCACTATTGTCCCTTAAAGCTGTTACAGCAAATAAATATGTCTGGATGCATGAGCAAGTGTCAGATCCACCGTATCCTTTATCCAGTGCATAAAGGATAGACATAGGTTTGCTTTCTGCTGGACTAGTATTAAATCCCTATTGAGGGGCTTCAGGAAGGGCAATGAGGGCAAATGGCAGAGTGATGTTACAATATCTGATTAAAGGCTGGAAGAATTGCTTGTCTTCTGATTACAGACCACTTCAAATATAAGATAGACTCTATATATGGGGCAGATGTCCCACCGAAATCCTTGTAGCTTCAAACTCCAGGTGTGTTTCTAAATAAATAAATAGAAGTTTGGTTTGCCAACACTTCCATCAGTCACTACTTCAGCCTGTTTCCAAGTGTCCTATATCCAGTAGCCACTGACAAATCCATCACTGATGACTGTCTGGTGTCTTGTTATTTGGTGGTTCTTGTGCAGGGAACTAGTTTCCAGGTCTCCTGGAAAGAAAAATCCTTTCTTTCCTTTCTTTCTCTCACCCAGACAACTTCTCTTGCAATAACATAGACCATAAGGAACAAGGAGACTTTTGGGCAATTGTAAATCAGCCTCTCCATTCACACCCCATTTTCCCTTCTTTTCATACAGGTTGATAAAGTGTGTGGGCAGCCCAGACAACAAGAAGGGAACTTGTCCTCAGCCAATATAGTGCCAGTGAAGGAAGTGACTGAAGCCCAGACGTTCGTGATGGCTCATGCCAGCCTGAACAATAAAAGAAGGTAACCCCGAGCTACAGTTGCTTTGAAACAAACTCTCTGCCTCCTAATTTGTGCTATTGGTTCCTTGCACTGTAATTTTCAAACCAGAGCCTGGCTCTGTCACCTTGTCTGTGTGTGCTCTCCAGCCATTGCCATCATGGATATTCATAGGGATGATTTTGTGGTGTTATATTGTGGGTCTCTCCAAGAAAAGCTTTTTACAGGCCAGACTTGATATTGTCGTTTAACACCAAGGTGTTCATTATTTCCAGAAACTTTCAGTGAAAGTTTCTCTTCACCAAAGTCTGAGGAAACCAATTTCCGCAGTTGAGTCTAAAGTACTTAAAATACAACTGCCCAGATCTTCAGGGACTTGAGCTTATCCAGGGACAGAAGTGTGAGGGGAAAAAGGAGTGAAAGGAAAGATTCACTGCCCTGACACCAAATCAGTCCAGTCGGTCCCTGATTTCACTGTACTGGGGAGGAGTAGTAAGATCCCTTGGAATGTCCTTGATTTGGTACATAGCAGAGAAAGAGCTGGAGCATTTGTTTGGGCTTGTTGTGTCCGTCTTGGTTTCTGTTGACACAGTAGACAGCTGAACTACAGACACTGGCCCAGGCAAGAGTATCCCTGCTCTCAGATCTCCTAAGTTTTTCTTTCACTTTACCTCATGTAGCTCCTGAATTGGTTTTCTGTAAATTGTAAGTGGAAAGGGAGGGATGACTTTGCAATCTCACTCATGATACATGAGTGGATAGCAGAGCTAACTGTCATAAAATCAAAGTGACCTCTTTCTGGCTAACATATTGTCCTCTGTAACAGCAGTATTGAGCTGGAACAAGTTCAGCCAAGTGAATGGAATCCTGCTGGGCTTACACCTCTATCCAGGAACAGTGTCTAATCTGCCCAGGGAGTCCTCTGTATGTTGGATAAATGGATGACAGACAGCAATATTAAAATGTCCATTGCCTGGATTCTGGACTTTGAGTTGTGAAGATGAGATTTTTATCCATTTCTACTTTAATTCTCATCTTAGCTCGCATGAATGGAACAAACACTGCTTTAAAGATAAAAGTAATAGCAGCAGGGCAAGTTTTTTGTGTGATAATGGTAATTTTATCCCTCTGTAATTTAAAACCAAAACCTAACAGTTTATGCTACTGGTTGGAGCTAATCAATTTTTACCAAGCAAATCAGAGAAAAGAGCATTAAAGAAATTATATCAATCAATTCAGGAGTAAAAATCCGAGGAACAGTTGTAGTACAATTTATAAAGCACACTTTTAAAAACACAGAGCCCTAGACCATCTTCTGTGTAGCTCATGGACTTCACTGGGACTTGAACACTAGCAACCAAAAAGGCAGAATTGCCAACCTATCAACAGGTGACCTTTATGTCTTTCATGGCCTGACAGCCATTCTTTCTCACCTGAGGATCTGCTCCCTCCCCTTCCCAACCATATAGAATTATTTGGATAGTGACCTTTTAAACTGTAAGACTTGTAGATGGAAAAGAAAATAAACTAATGCACTGTAAATTAGACAATTTTCCAAAATTGGTCTGCACACTGAAAATTAATTTATCAAAAAAATCTAAACTAAGGCCATGCTTACATAATTAGCATGAAAAATTGCTGAAATACAGTGTTGATAGGTATTGTGGGGAGCCTGTGCACTGAAAATGAATGATGGAACCATGCCATAAATAGTGAGAAGTGGAAAAATTGAAAATATTCTCCACAACATCCTATAAAACACATGGCCTGAAGCTTGTACTTTGCTTCTTGGAAACAATTGTGAAACCATAAATAGAGTGAAAGATGCAGTGATTGGCAGCATCACTGTGTTGTTCATTCTCTATCATTTAATCCCATGTGATATCAATAAAAAGCAATTTAAGGTAATAAAAGTATTATAATACATGGGTGAAGTCATTCCTGCAGTGGGTTATGTAGAATGCACTTAGAGTGACAGAGAACTGATACGGGGGGACCAGATTATGAGAGTAATTACGTGAATCTTTTTAGATGCTATTGTTTGTGCTGATTTTAAGAAATGAAGAGCAATAATGTCAGCTGTCTGTCAGTTGAGGTACAAGGTCACACAGGGAACTGGTTCTGCTGAATCTGTCTGTCAGTCTATATAATAGACATCCCTCCAAATGATCCTTAATTCAAGGGGAAAATGGAACATGACTCCAGCCTTTTAAAAAAAAGGAAAGAAAAAGAGAAGGAATGAGCCAGCACTCTCCAAATAGACACAAAACCCGTGGCTCATGCCCTTAATGTGTCAAAATGTTCCTGAACTCAAAGAGAACTCAACTGCTTGGCACGTCTGTGGGAGAAACCAGAGTCACGTGGCCTCTCATCTCCCCTACAGAACCTGGTCAGAGATGCCCTTAAAAAACCAGTGCCAGACAGCTTATACCTACAGATGGATATTTGCTCCAAAGCTAATGAGTCTTTGCCAGGCCAGTTACGAAATCAAACTCCTTTTCCAAAGAATTTGAGAAGCCTGGTTTCAGCAGCTCAGCAGAGCCAGGGCTGCTCATGCAACTGAGAAGTGAGATTGTTCAATGGCATCTCTTGGCCTGATGTCATTCCTGGGGGAAGGTGTTTGGGGTCTGGCTGCAGCCAGCCCTCCTCACTCTCTGCTGTCTGCACACGGAGGTCCTGCATAGTCCCTGAGGGCACAGACCAACTGGATCCTCTTTTGCAGTAGTTGAACCCTTTTCTTCTCCTCTTACTCTCGTGGGTTCCTGGAACATTTCCCATCTCTCTTTATTTTATTCTGCATTCCATTTCTACATATTTTTTTGTTACGCATCACTAAGTGTCAGGGACAATAGTGAAAGAAGGTGAAACTTGAATAAATGTTGCATGGTCTTGTTGGAAACCTTTTCCTCTGATTAACCTGGAAAGCATCAAATTGATTGTAATTATTTTTTTTTGCATTACACAATGGTATTCAGGGATTAAGTGAAACTGGCAGTGTTACTGCTGCAGTCATTTTTTAATGTGGAGGTTACTATAACATGTAATAGAGATGACAAGAAAATTGAAACCATATGATGGTACAGGGAATGTAAATGGCATGTACAGAATCTCAGTGAGTAAATTGGAATGTTATTGCTGAGTTCAGCACAAAGAACTGTTCTGGTCAGGGTCCAGTCTCCTAGCAAAGTTGAATACCTGCCTTTTAGCGTCTCTGCTCCGTGGAGCATTTCAAACCACTAAACACAGACTGGTTACAAAGCTGTGTATATAATAGGTTACATTTAATGAAGAATTGTAATTCATTAGGTCCCTAGTTGGAGGAAGCAAGCTTTGTAATTGTGTTTTGCTGTGAATTTACAGATCTTTTATACATCTTAAAATAAACAACTTAGGAGTTTCTTTGGGAATATTTGAAGTCAATGGTATCTATTTTATTTAAAATTAAGTATCTATTGGGTCAGACATCACATGATTTTATTAAAATTTGAGTAATAACGTGCTAGTACAAAGCAGATTATTAATGTCAGATGCACATTAATGTCTGGCCAAGGCAGAGGTTTCAGCTGGCCCAGATTTTCCCTGTTACCAAATCTCATTTTGTTTTATGAGTGGCTGTGTTGGAATCTCTGCCTCAGTGATGGAAGGTGCCACTCACCTGATGATCAGGGCAGGTCCCTCCCCTCCTGTGGCACCCCTGCTATGAGCTCTCAGAAAGTGTGAGGGCAAAGCTGCATCCTCTGGGTGTCCTGAGGCTGCTGAAAGTGGTCACTCTGTCCAGTAAGAGTGAAGTGGGTTCTGTGTGGAACTAGTTTGGAGGCACTCATTGCTCCAGCTCTGGCCATTGCGTTACACAGGAGAGCACAGGTGTGAGAGCAGGCTGAACTATCAAACCATCTCAGTGGAAAATTGCATCATGATGTTAATGCTGGATGCAATGTCTGATGTTAATTAAGGGACCTCAGTTTATTGGTGCCACAAAATACTTTTACACGAAATAATTGCCTGGGTTATTTCCACAGTTCTTCCTCCAGTATAACCCTGAAGCCTGTATCTCCTGTTTTGCAAAGCTGGGTGTTTGTAAATGGCAAATCTGACCAGAAGAGAACAGCAAAAAAATATCTGTACTTACACATTTATTAACAGGCAGTAAATTGCTTGTCGTATCAGAACGTGAATGCTGCTCATTTATGTCTCTCTTCCCTTGGTTCTCATTCTAAACTGCCATTATTTTCTTGTACAACTCCATGTATTTGCAGTTCTTCCATTTGGTATCAGTTATGGTTAATTTAAGTACTGCTGAATTTATTTTCAGCTTTCTGCTGTGTGCTCTGCATTTGTAATTGTGCTTGTATTTGAAAATGATGGGGACAAAAAATCTTGGTTGCAATTTCCCCCCCCCTCCCCAATATTGCATTGACATTTTTGATGGCATCTATATTTTGGAAAATCTCATGACAGTTTTTCTCCTTATTTATTTTCTTTTATTATCCTGTGCATGTGCTTGATGACTTTTCTTTCAAATAATTTTTACTTTTCTCTTTTGTTTCTCATTTCTTTTCCTCATTTGCCTGAATTCCTGCTTCTCCCCTACTCCCCAACTCTCCTGATTGATGCTAATTCTCCCCGGCCTATTCCAGTTCTCTGCCTCTGAAAGCTTCAAAGAATGACAAATCAAGAAGTTTGAAAAAAATCTCTCGGTAAGAATGAAAACAAGGTGACATCCTTTGTTGTCTCTCCAGTTAGCTCATCTCCAGCTGTAACCTAGAAGTTGGCACGCTTTTGATTGCTGCTTTTATACTGTGGGGTGCTGGGAAACTGTACATTTTCTACCCTACTGAGTTTAGTTTTACACTGACGAAACGTAAATATTTTTGCTCAGAAAGATTGAGAGTTGGACACAGAATTCTCTGTTTGCTAAGATGCTACTTTGAAATGTCAGAGCCTCACTCTGCTGAGAATGCAAAGGAGTTTAAACTTCTTGGGGTGAGCTGGGTAAGACAAGCTTTAGACTGTCAAAAGGTGCTGTTTTTCTCCTTCAAAGAAAACACCAGTTTAGCACCCATAAAATCTTTAGCATCTGTGTTGCCTTTCAGAACTGATACTCTCAGTAAGCAGCCTTCGGGCTGGGCCTGGCTTTCCTGCGTTAATACTTAGAGCTTGTATTTGTAAGTTGGTAGTCAAGAGGTTGAAATGCTGATTCCCTCATCATAAGCCCAAAAATTCCTACTTTTTTCTTTGCTTAAAATAACAGCTTTCCTGCTCTGTTATTTTCTTTGGAGCATGTGACAGTTAATTTATCTAGACCAGGATTTCATCCCACAAGATAAATGGGATGGTTGAACACTTGAAAAAGTATAAAGATAGCTTTGGGGAGAGAAGACCACTGCCTAAACCGTGTAGGAATAGATATTTAGCAGTGGACTTTGACATTGTTTAAAACACTTGTTGCTCCTAAAGGAATGATAAATCCTCACTGGTTTTATGCCAAACTTCATCCAGCCATATCCCCAGGCACGTCTTCAGTGCAGCGTCCCCTTATGGTCTGCCAGGCTGAAACATTGGAAACCAAAATGAGTCCTTTGGCCTTCCCAGTGGGAAGTTCTGAGACAAGCAGATAGCTCTGTGATAGCTCAGTTTGTGTCCTGCATCTTGTTCTCCCTATCTTTAATGCCTCATACCAAACAGGAGCTTCTAAAGCGATGAAGGAGGGTAATTTCTCATTCTGAAATACTCTCAATTGAGATGGGTTAACAGAATGTGTTAAAACCACCCTTTGTGTGCGTAATTATGCCTATTAACACTGGACTAAATCAGTTTGGATGATAAATAGGGGTAGAAATACACTAGAAATAGAAATCCATTCAGATTACTTAAATTCTAAAGTCTTAACCTTGTGGAGGGTTTAGTTGACGGGGGCTTAAATGCTGAGTTTCCTGTTGTGTTGTTAAATATGTTCCTCCTGCGTTACAGAGAGTTCATCAGTTACATGAAGCGATCCCGCACCTTTTATGCCTCTATAGCAGAACGTCTGTGCGATGGAGACCTGGTCATGAGGGACAGCTCAACCTGCTGGAATGGAGAGGATGTTGTGGAAAGGTAAAGTTACAAGTTAAAGTTTGCTGTAATTATGGAAAAAGAGACTTCGTATCCTTCTGATGGTTCAGCAGCAGCATTCTACTTTGGCAGCTAATTTTTTCCCCCCTCTGTTTTTTATCAGGGTCTTTGCCATCACCCTTTGGACTCTAAACTGGAATATACACTTTCTTTCCATGAGCTAAACTTCTTGCTGTCTTGCTTTTACTCTGTATAACATGAGGCAACATCACCCTGAGGAGAGAACAAGATGTTTTAAGCACAACTATATCTTTATTATCATTGTCAAAGTATATATCAGTTTTTGCAGTGAGAGCTTGTTGAAAGTGTACCAGTGAATGTTCTCCAAAAACTTCTTTTTGTCCAAAAAAGAGATGTTCCATGGGATTGTTGTTGGTTTTCATGATGTTTCTTTTTGAAGTGTGTTTTGTGGTCGGTAGCAGTTATAAAAGGTGCAGTTCTAGCATTCTGTGTTCTTACTTAAAAACAATTGTCATGCTTGTAAATTGTTTTGTAGGAACTTACAGAATAATTCCAATATGGAACAGAGAGAGATGTGACAATTATGTCTGTCCCATTAAAGGGAGTTCTGACTCCCACACAGCTCTGCTTAGTTTTCTCATGTGTAAATAACTTCAGCTTAATTACATCTGAGGTATTTGAAGATAAATGCATGTCTAACACATCCAAAGATAACTTTTAAGTTTAATGTTTCACTGTATATTGTCATTATAAATTATTTGTAAAGCATATGTTTGAAGATTTTGGCAACAGTGTAGTATTCTAAATATTTACATGATTGTAATACTGATGGAAGTTTTTACTGTAAAAGTAGTGGAGAGGAAACAGGAGGAATATCAGTATTTCCACTTCAGAATGCCTTTTGCTGGTGACGTGTTGCTGGATCCACAGTTAACTTTTAGAACAAACAGATTTCTGGCCAAAAGAAAAATAAGAAAAGCCAAGCAAGCAAAAATAAACATTTTCTGTGTCAACTCTCTGAACAAAAAAGTTAATAAAATGTTACGTTTAATTTTTATCTTACTTTGTTAAAAAAAACAAACAAGCCACTTAAATTCCTGATATACATGTTTTAGAAAGGCATTAAGGGGAAAGCTGTTGTTATTGTCCTTTGCCTGTCTGTAGCTTTCCCAGAGTTGGAAACAGGTGGAAAAGATTCAGGTTTGAAAGCGACAGGAAGGCTGGGAAAAGTAGCAGGGAAAAGACTAACAAAATTCCTCATATTTTGAATTAAAAAGCAAAACCAAAGGAAAGAAAAACACCAAGAAACAATCTACCCCCAAAGATGACAGCAGCAAAAAACCCAACCCCACCACCAAACTCTAAATGTCTGTCGTTAACACATTAAATAGGCTAAATGGAAAATAAAAGGTTAGATTCATGTGTTAAATCAGAAATATATAAAATACTATATAATAATATATAAATATTATACACTTATATACTCTCTTACAGTATTGACTGCCTTAAAAGGAGGAGACTTTCTGGGCAGCCTGCACTGCCAGCAGTGCTACACAGCAGCACAGACAGGGCTCCTGCTTGCTGGCAGACTTTGCTCCTTTCATCATCTGTTTTATAGGCTGGACCTGTCACAGTTCTCCCCGCATGGGACATAAACCTGTCCTGGTGATGCCTGAAGATGCATTTCTCTTTGCTCTTTCTCCTTTCCCAGGACACCAGAGCATTAAATATCAGCAGTAGTAAACAACTGAGCTCAAAATAGAGCCTTATTATTAACTGTGTAGCAGAAAATAGATCACCCCAATTAATTTGGTGGATCTCCTGTGAACCTGAGTTTAAGGTTGCTCAGGCTGTGGAGCTGGTAAAAGCTGCAGTTCCTGTTTCCTTGATACTTCTTGCATCTCAAAATGCTGCTTGAAAGCTGAGCATTATATATGCTGTGTGCTGATTGGCACACAAGCTCCTTAGGAAGAACAAACTTGACCTTCAAAACCAAATTGACATACAAATGCAGCCTGAAGCAAAATGAAATGAGGATCCTGCATTCAGTTAGTAGAGAGGGCACCTGAGGTCTGATATCAGACCTGTGAGAGGGTCTGATAAACAGAATTGGACCTTTTTATTTTATTATAGTTCTTTGGATTGGGTTTTATTGTGTTTAAATCATTGCACAAAAATTTTGAGCTGCCAGTTAAATACGTCATAAAAAGAGTCAGGTTTCCACTGGCTTGAGAATATGCTTCTGGCCTGCTCTTCAGATGAACAGGAAAACACGCCTTTGCTAGGAATCCTTTAGTGTCAGTTCAGGACAACATTAGAATTACTTGCACCAGGAGTACTGCCTTTCTTTTCATTGCTCTTTTGAGCAGCTTGTTCTTGGAGCAAGACTTGATATAAGAAAGAGTCTGTCAGGATAATGAATAGTCTCGGTATACAAAAATTCTCAGAGAAAATGAGGCTGGAGCAGTAGAACTGGAAAACTGTTTTGAAAAGTGAAGCAAGCTTGGAGAAATTTCTGTGCTGGAACCTTTTTTTCCTGCCGGTGATGATTGTCTCAATACCATATCAGGAGAGGAGACTGCAGGGGAAGTTGATGGCGTTAACCATTATGTGCTGCCAGGACTAGACACCATTCATCTGAGACATCTGGAAGGCCTAAAGCGTTAAATTTTTCATTGTGATACCATATTTTCTTTAGGACTGCTCCAACATTAGAGGCTGGGAAGATGGGAAACGTGAAGACATCATTGTTTTTTTAGCAAAATAAGGATTTTGTAAAGGCGTGGACGGTAAACTTGGTATATGACAGTAAAATCTATAGAAACTATAAGCAGATGAACACTGTAGGGAAATGATTCTAAATGTTGAGAGCCTTTAGAAGGTGATAATGAGCATGTAGACAGGTAGATTGTGGTGTTCTGCTTGAACTTCTGGTAGATATTTCATATCCTTCACAAGAGACTGGTAGAATAGATGGTCATGGCGTGGTGTTCATGATACAGGCATGTGGTGTCTGCAGTTCTGCTGTGCCCTAGGCTTGGAAAGATAGAGCACAACCACAAATGTACAGAAGGAGAAACGAGGAGGAGGATCAGGGGCATGAACTGCATCCTGTATGTGTAATGGCAGGCACTCCAGCCTGGTGCAGAAAAGATAGAAGAGGAATATGTGGCCTATAAAAATCACGTGTGCTGTGGAGATGCCCAGTAGGGATTTCCTGTTTGTTCTCTCTTTCATTACAAGAACACGGGACATTGTTAATTAGTGACAGCTTGAAAGCAGAAGTAGATATTCCTTTGCTAAACTTCTGGTTAAGCTGTGAAACTTCTTGCCTCAGGATGTTTGGGTGTTCAAAAAAAATGGATGAATTAACGAGCAAATTCAGCCCATAGAATAACAAGTTGTGTAACTAACTGTCTGGGCAGATATGAGGCAACGAGGCGCCACATCCATCTCTCTCTCTCTAAGGCAAAAAGGCAAAAGATTTCCTCTAGTCACTCTTAGCCACTTGCTCCCATGGCCTTCTCTTCTGTAGAAACTGAACTGCAGGAGCCGCCTTCTCCTCAGTAATATCTCTTCACCTAAATGAAATGCTGGCGTTGAATGAGCTTCTCCATTCTGCCTGGCCACAGTAGCCAAACAGGATTTGCTGTCTCAGCCTTATAAATGGCAGATTAGGTACAATACAGCGTCCAAGGACTTTCCCCAAAGCTCATATGGAGATTTTCTGTTGTACACAAAATGTGAATTTCCCTTTAGAACTCCTTTTTAATGAAATTTGGATTTTTGTGAAGTCCTAGTTGGACTAGAGCGTCCTTCTCAGAGACTACTCTTTCTCCTGCTGGAAAAGGCAGAAGGAGATTTGGACTCACTGGCAAGCTTTTGGAGTGTGTCTCTCTACAACAAATGGGCAATCCTGATTTGGAAATAGCACTTTCGGGGATCAGTGGGTTGTGAGTACTAATTAAAGTTAGATAATCATTCAGTCTTTCCATCTCTGCCTGCCTACTTGTCTCTTGTAGTTTCTATTTCCGGAGGGATGAAACAAATAATAAACAGACGGTGATCTGCACATGGAAGAGTTACGATATGATGAGTGTAGCCATGGTAGCCAACTCTGGGCACTGCTCACTCTCTCCCACTCTTTGGCCAGGGCTGTGCCATTAGTTCTCATAAAGAGGCTGATTGCAATCTGAAGACTATCAACTGCAGTGCCACTGCTTGGGCTTTGGGGCTGGAGTGTGGAAGTTGCTCGGGAATGTTTGGTAACCTCAGCACTTGAGGTGTTAGTGGCAGCCTCCTCCTTGGTGTGTCTGGACCTTACTCTGAAGTAGCAGCGATGGTGCAGCACTGCTGCATTTCCTGAGCTCTGCTAAAGGTGCATTCTCAGGGCAGCTGCAGAAGATTTGTTCTCCAGTTATTGTCACATAAATGGTCATATGCCTTCAGCAAGACTGTTCAGGACTCCTGTCACAAGCAATGTGTCAGGATCTCAGGATTTTTGAAAGTTGAGGGGTCTGCCTGTGACCTGTGTTGGAGTGCAGCTGGCTGGGTGTGGGGACTGTTCCACAGAGGAATACACTAAAATCTCCTCTGTCACTCCTACAGGAAGTGTTATCATTATATAAATTGACATTTAGAGGCTGACAGATGCTACTGAGAATTCTGAGAGTGCTGCTGCCATTTCAAATATCCTTTTAAGCAATGAGTACTTGCAGTTACTTTGATCTACTCTAAAATGCACACCATTGCTATTGTGGTGTTGCAGGAAGCAAAAACCAGCTTGGAGTAGCTAAATGTAAGCTGGTAATGAAGAAGAAAGTGAAGTGGTGGGTGCTTGGGATCAGTGCAATAAAACCCTATTTGTTCAGGTGCTGTAACGGGCTTTTAGGCTGTGTCTCCAGTGCACAATAGGCACTGATCTTCCGAGAAAGGGATCCAGTGCTGATATCCCAATGCCGCACTTATCTGTGCTTGTTACCTGGGAGAAAGGCCTGCCCCCCACCTTACCACAAACTCCT